TTATGCAACATACATTTGCCACAATGAAAATGAGAGCCAGAGAGAAGGCCGGTGGGCAGGTCCACGTGCCAGCTTTTAGGGTTTGGATGTAAATGTTGCACTTGCAGGGGACAGAGATGTTAGAAACGAGATGGAGCTACAAGTTCATGAACTCCCACTTCATATTCCTCCCACAGCACCCAAGGAATGGCTCTGTCCAGGGTCCCCACAACCAGGCCAGGCCAGGTGACCAGTCATGGCCCATGCTCACCTGTGACAGGTGACACTTCTGGGCTGAGGCCATGACAAGCCTGTGTCTCCATGAACAAGGAAGCCCGTGTGGATAGCCGAGCCCCAGAGCTAGGCGGCCTGGGCCTCTGAGCTACCCCTCGGCACGGCATCCGGCAGAGGGGCTCAGGACCATGGACGCGGCATCGGCCCCAGATGCCGGAGATGACTGCTGCTGCAGCACATCCCAGCCCATCTTCGGACAGAGCCTTCCAGACCTCGGCACTCTCAATGACCACAGGCTCATCGGCCAGAAGATAGGGACAGAGACTTCATGTGAGTGGATTCTGTCTGACAACGGGGTCAGGAACTGACCTCCTTCTTCCTCAGGTTGAGGACATGAGGATTTCTAAAGGGCCCTGAACCCCCAACTTCTCGGTCATTCAGTGGCCTTCACTGAGCGCCACAGAATTCAGATTCTGAATATGGGTGTGGATGTCATCAGGCCAGAGCCAGGCTTTGGATACACTCTCAGCTCACCGGGCTGCCTCTGGAGGGAGAAAAGTTCAGGGGACTCCCAACGCCAGAGCATTTGCCTCTCACCACGGCTACTTCCACAGGAACAAGCCATGCAGAGGGACACATGAGCTTCAAAGAAGCACCAGGACCCTTGGGAATTTCAGGCACCTATTTGGGTATTTAGGTGGGTTTTTGTTTTTTGTTTGTTTTGAGACAGAATCTCGCTCTGCTGCCCAGGCTAGAGTGTAGTAACACGATCTCAGCTCACTGTAGCCTTGAACTCCTGAGCTCAAGCACTCCTCTCACCTCAGCCTCCTGAGTAGCTGGGATTATAGGCACGCACCACCAGGCCCGGCTAATCTTTTTTTTTTTTTTTTTTTTTGAGACAGAGTTTCACTCTTTTTACCCAGGCTGGAGTGCAATGGCATGATCTTAGCTCACCGAAACCTCCGCCTCCTGGGTTCAAGCAATTCTCCTGCCTCAGCCTCCCGAGTAGCTGGGACGACAGGCCACCATGACCAGCTAATTTTTGTATTTTTAGTAGAGACAGGGTTTCACCATGTTAACCAGGATGGTCTCGATCTCTTGACCTCGTGATCCACCCACCTTGGCCTCCCAAAGTGCTGGGATTATAGGCGTGAGCCACCGCACCCGGCCAGGCCCAGCTAATTTTTTTAAGAGATAGTGTCTCACTATGTTGCCCAGGTTAAGACACATATTTGAATCCCAGGAAGATTCTGAGATATCCATTTTCCTGGCTACTCTCTAGCAATGCCTTGTTCCCTGTGGCCCCAGCACCCCCACAGGCAGCAGGTTCCTACAGAAATGAACAAAGCTGTGCCACCACATGTTCATCAGCTCTCCCGTGCCCAAGTACAGCAGGTCCTGAGACAACAGCAATGTTTCCTTCTGCAGTTCTGGAGTCCAGACATCCAGATCCAGGATGAGCAGGTGGAAACCAAGGTGCTGCAGGGCCATGCCCTCCGGAGGCCCCCGGCAGGCCCCTCCTCATCTGTTCTGGTGGCTGCAGCCCCCTCTTAGCCTGTGCGCCTGTGGCCACATCTCGCCAGCCCCTGCCTTGTGGTCACATGGCCTCTTCCCCTTCTGTGTGGAATCTCCTCCTGCTTCCCCTTATGAGGCACATGTGATGGTGTCAGGGCCCTCCTAGGAAACCCAGGACTACTCGTCCACCTCGAGCCTTACTTCATCACATTGGCAAAGTCCCTCTGTGCCACTCAAGATGACAGATCCAGGTCCCAGAGACTAGGCCATGTGTATCTTGGGGGGCCTGGACACCTCCCAGGATGGAGTAGCCATGCCCAGCTACTCCAGTCACATCTAGCTACTCTAGTCATGCCCAGCTACTCCATCTGTGTCTACCTACTCTAGCCACACTGAGATACTTCAGCCATACCCAGCTATTCTAGCCATACCCAGCTACTCTGGCCACATCTAACTACTCCAGTCATGCCCAGCTACTCCATGTATGCCTACTCCATGCATGTCTAGCTACTCCATGTATACTCTAGCCACACCCATATATTCCAGCCACACCAGACATTCCAGCCATGCCCATCTACTCCAGCCAAATCCAGCTATTCCAGCCACACCCAGCTATCCTGGCCACATCTAGCTACTCCATCCATGCCTAGCTACTCTAGCCACACCCAGATACTCTAGCCACATATCACCACTCCAGTCAGGCCCAGATAACTCTATCCATGCCTAGCTACTCCGGCCACACCCAGCTTCTCCAGCCATACACAGCTATCCCAGACATGCTCAGTTACCCTAACCACTGCTCAACCACAGAAGCAGGAGCTGTTCCTACTTGGGGTAACTGGGCACCCTGGACCCAGAATATCCAGCCTGAATTGGCCACATACTCTGGACAAGGTAGGGTTTTCAGCATGATGTGAGCAGTTGGGAGCCACGGCCCCTGAAGGCCACTCCTCTGCATAGCCCCTGCCAGTCTTTCTGGGTGAGATTCCAGCAAAATGTATCAAAAGCCTGTTAAAAACATGCACACCAGCACCCACCAGGATCTTAACAGGCCCATCTCTGACCCAGCAACCTGAATGCCGGGACTCTCCTGCCTAAGTGCTGCCTTACTACTCGCAGAAACATTGTAGCGCAGAGAAATCAGAAACCTCCCACGTGACCTTGGCAAAGGCAGTAGTTAATAAACTGATTCATTCTTACAATGGAACACTGTGCAGATACTTGCAACAATTAGATTTGTGCTTATATGGAAGGACTTCTTAGACCCATCATCGGCAAGGAGCAAAGCCCAGAACAAGGTATCTAGTGTGTTCCCAGGGTCCCCACCTGCATTCACGGGCACACACCTGCAAACACACAGGGCGGCTGGAGCCTCCCCGGACCACCACGCAGTCATCCTCAGAGAAAGAGAGAAAAAGACACTTTCTCTTTGTATTTTATACATATGGAGATCATTTAGATTTTATATAGGACTGGTATCAAAATGTGTTCAGTTAATCTAATGGAGCATTAGAATTTGTCAAAAAATTGCTTTTTATCTTATTTTATTTATTTATTTATTTATTGAGATGGAGTTTCGCTCCTGTTGCACAGGCTGGAGTACAATGGCATGATCTCGGCTCACCACAACCTCCACTTCCTGGATTCAAGTGATTCTCCTGCCTCAGCCTCTGGAGTAGCTGGGATTACAGGCACTCACCACCACGCCCATCTAATTTTGTATTTGTAGTAGAGATGGGGTTTCTCCATGTTTCTCAGGTTTGTCTCGAACTCCTGACCTCAGGTGATCTGCCTGCCTCAGCCTCCCAAAGTGCTGGGATTATAGGCATGAGCCACTGCAACTGGCCTAAAAAATTATTTTAAAAGAGAATTTTCAAAATGTTACACATCCTTTGATCACATCAAGGAATTTATCTCTAAGAAAGAAATAAGCAAGTGCTCCACGATGAAAATGCGAAAGGATGACCGTCAAATGTTTATAAAATAAAAAATGCAGGCCGGGCATGGTGGCTCACACCTGCAATCCTAGCACTTTGGGAGGCCAAGGAGGGCGGATCCCTTGAGGTCAAGAGTTTGAGATCAGCCTGGCCAACATGAGGAAACCCTGTCTCTACTAAAAGCACAAAAATTAGCCAAGCATGGTGATGGGCACCTGTAGTCCCAACTACTCAAGACGCTGAGGCAGGAGAATCGCCTGAATATGGGAGGCAGAGGTTAAAGTAAGCCAAGATCACGTCACTGCAGTCCAGCCTAGGCAACAGAACAAGACTCTATCTAACATAATAATAATAATAACAGAGATTTTAAAAATGCAAACAGCCACAGTAGGAAAACAGCCGATTCACATAGAAACTGATAGCACAGACTGCTGTGAAACCCTTACTGGCAAGGAAAGGTGCTGAGGACACTGTAAGTGTGACAAACAGTGTAGAATGAGAAGCTATGATAGACAGGATCTGTGCACAAGGAAAATCCTTAAGGAGTACCCCGCAAATATCCCCAAGGATTATCTCTAGGTATCAGATGGAAACATTTTTGCTTTAAATCTTTTCAAAATTGTCTTCATTTTTCCAATTATGTCTATGATCAACATTCCCACACATAGCGTCCGAGCTCCTTCACACTCGGACCTCTCCCTGAATAACCCTGGCCTCCTCTGTCCCCTCACTGCGACCCTGCAGACCTCATCTGCTGTCACCTCCTGCCTCAGGCTTCCAAGCTCCCAGCATTGGCAGGAGCCTTGGGAAAGGTGCATCCTCGCCCCATCTCCCCTACAAGGTGATGAGTTTAACAACGGCAAGGCGCATCCATAAATGCCAAAGAGGCTGGAACACAAAGCCCATGGTATTCAGACCACCCAGGCCTTTCTAGGTATAGCGTGAGGGGAAACCACAGACCCAGACCCAGTATTTGAGGAAGGCAGCCTGGCTCTCCCAGAGCAGGGACTCAGCTCCGCGGCAGGGCAGCTGCATGCAGCACAGTATTTCGGGAAGCCACCCCTGCCTGGTGAGCCCACATTTCCGGAAAGCTGTAACACGCTTCTCCTGGAGCCGAGCATTCCATGATCCACAGCCTGTGAGTCAGACAAATGGCAAAGCCTCCCTGGAGGCCGGGGAGGGTGATGGTACTACTGGGGTGGGAGACAGGTCTGCCCACCTCCTGGAGGCCAGGGAGGGCAGCAATGATGCCGGGGCGGGGGATGGATCTGCCCCGCCTCCTGAAGGCTGGGGAGGATGGCAGTGATGCCCAGGCGAGCAACAGGGCCTGCCTACCTCCTCTCATTGTCATCCAGGTGAGCGAATAGCACATTCTTGGAGATGGCCTTGGCCAGCGCAGTCATGGTCTTGTAGTCCTTGGGAATCACCTGAAGGGAACCGGAAACATCAGCACGTAAGCCACTCTGTCCTGACACTGTGATGCAGCCTGAAATCTCCCTATTTAGCCCTCAGCTTGGTGTTATCAGGCAATGGTAAAAAGAGGCAATTTGAAGTTTAATGTGTATTTCAGCACTATTTTTTTTCTTTTTTTGAGACAAGAGTCTTGCTCAGTTACCCAGGCTGGAGTGCAGTGGTGCAATCACAGCTCACGGCAGCCCCCATCTCCTGGGCTCAAGTGCTTCTCCTGCCTCAGCCTCCCAAGTAGCTGGGACCACAGGTGTGCACCACCACACCTGGCTAATTTTTTTTTATTTTTAGTATAGATGAGGTATTACTATGTTGCTGAGGCTGGTATCAAACATCTGAGCTCAAACAATCCTCCCTCCTCAGGCTCCCAAAGTGCCAGGATTACAGGCACAGCACCCGCACCCAGCCTCTTACTATTTTTGAAATGCAGTCACATATGACCTAATGATGAGAAGCATCCTGAGAAATTCATCATTAGGCAATTTCATCATCATGCAAACATCATAGCACAAGCCTAGCTGGTACAGCCTACCACGCACTGAGGTTATAACATGACAGAGCCCATCACTCCTAGGCTGCAAATCTGTTCAGCATGTCATCATCCTCAACACTGCAGGCAGCTGTAACACAGTTCAAGGTGTATCTAAACGCATCTACACAGCCGGGCACGGTGGCTCACGCCTGTCATCCCAGCACTTCACAAGGCCAAGGCAGGTGGATCACGAGGTCAGGAGTTCAAGATCAGACCGGCCAACATGGTGAAACCCCGTCTCTACTAAAAATACAAAAATTAGCCAAGATGTGGTAGTGGGCACCTATAATCCCAGCTACTCAGGAGGCTGAGGCAGGAGAATCACCTGAGTCCAGGTGGTGGAGGTTGCAATGAGCCAAGATCGATTCACTGCACTCCAGCCTGAGTGACAGAACAAGACTCCATCTCAAATAAATAAATAAAATAAACATATCTACACAGATAAAAGGTTCAGTAAAATATGATATCATAAACTTACTGGACCATGTATATGCAGTTTGTCAATGACTGAAACGCAGTCATGCAGTGTGTGCCTGTATTCAATAGTCTGTTATTGACTGCAGTCACCTTACCATGTAAAGATCTCAAAACCCATTCGTCCTGTCTGTCTGTCTGTCTGTCACTTTGTCCCCTATGATCAGTAATTCCCCATTCCCTCTCTGAGTGAATTCTACGAGCACCTCAGTTGCCAGGATATCCCCCACTTAAAATAAAACCATGTGGGAAGGTCTTTTAGGCCACACTAGCTTGTGTGGTGCTTGGGCCACTCAGGAAGTCCCTGTCTGTCCAGGTACAACTGCAGGCCACACAGGTTTAAGCATGCTGTGTGTTTAATGCAGAGAACCCCTCTCTTTGAGAGACAGCACTGAAATCTAAAAAGCCACACTCCAGGCCGGGTGCAGTGGCTCATGCCTGTAATACCAGCACTTTCAGAATTGCCTAATTGAGGTGGGCAGATCACGATGTCAGGGGTTTAAGACCTTACATGGTGAAATCCTGTCTCTATTAAAAATACAAAAATTAACTGGGCTTGGTGGTACGCCCCTATAGTCCCAGCTACTTGGGAGGCTGAGACAGAAGAATTGCTTGAACCTGGGAGATGGAAGTTGCAGTGAGCTGAGATCGCACCATTGCACTCCAGCTTGGCAACAGAGCAAGACTCCACTACCATCCCGCAAAAAAAGAAAGAAAAACATAAGTGTTGGCCAGGCACGGTAGCTCATGCCTGTAATCCCAGCACTTTGGGAGGTCGAGGCAGGCGGATCACAAGGTCAGGAGTTCAAGACCAGACTGGCTAACATGGTGAAACCCCATCTCCACTAAAAAAATATATATAGAAAAACATGGTGGCTCATGCTTGTAATCCCAGCTACTTGGGAGGCTGAGGTAGGAGAATTGCTTGAACCGGGACCTGGGAGGTGGAGGTTGCAGTGAGCCGAGATCATGCCACTGCACTCCAACCTGGACTACAGAGTGAGACTCCATCTCAAAAAAAAAGAAAAATATAAGTGTTGACCGGACACAGTGGCTCAAGCCTGTAATCCCAGCACTTTGGAAGGCTGAAGCAGGTGGATTACCTGAGGTCAGGAGTTTAAGACCAGACTGGCCAACATGGTGAAACCCTGTCTCTACTAAAAATACAAAAATTAGGCGGATGTGGTGGTAGACACCTGTAATCCCACTACTCGGGAGGCTGAGGCAGGAGAATCGCTTGAACCCGGGAGGCAGAGGTTATAGTGAGCCAAGATCATGCCACTGCACTCCAGCCTGGGCAACAAGAGTGAAACTCCCTCAAAAAAAAAAAAAAAAGTATACATATATATACATATATACGTGTGTGTGTGTGTGTGTGTGTGTGTGTGTGTGTGTTTTGTTTTTAGTTTCTACTTACAGAAAAGTTGCAAAGATCATTCCTGTGCACCTTGCAGGTTCCCTGATGTGACCACCTCATATGCTATGATGCATTTATCACAACCGGGGAGGCAACACCGATACAAGACACCGAGCCCCACACCAAATCCGCTCTTCCTTTGCTTTCCCTGAATGCCCTTTCTCTGTCCCAGTACCCCATCCTGTCTCCTCAGTGCCCTCTGGTCCGCAACAGTTCTTCAGACTCTCCTCATGTGCCATGAGCAGGGCTAGTCAAGTATTCTGCAGAACATCCCAATATTTGGGTTTATTTGAGGTTTTTCTCTTCGTTAGACTGAGGTTCTGGGTCTTGGGAAGACCCCAAAGGTGGAGTGCCCTAATAAGTTTTTAATAATGCTTGTGCTAGCTTTAATTAGCTGATTATAAAAGCATTAAGTACCAGGGAAAGGAATGGGGAGTACGTATTTAGTGGGGACAGAGTGTCCGTTCTGCAAGGCAAGAAGGCTCTGGAGATGGTGGTGGTGATGATTCCACAGCAATGAGAATGTGCTTAATGCCATCCAAGCGTGCACTCAGAAATGGCTGAGGGTACTGAGCACTGCACTGTGTCTCCCCGAAATTCACATGTGGAAGCCCTAACCAGCCACTCAATGGTGTTTGGAGAGAGGCCTTTGGGCAGTGGCTGGGGTTAGATGGGGTCATGAGAGGAGAGCCCTGATTAATGGGATTCATGTCTATATAGGAAGAGACCAGAGAGGCTCCAGGAGCATGGGAAGCACACAGCCCAGGACAGCGCCTCTGCTGACTCCAAGGACCTGGGTGCCAGTGAGTCTTCTCCCTTCCCTGAGCCTGTGAGGATCCATAAGCCGCCATGGGGCTGCAGAGACCCCACACAGAGCTGCTTCCATAAATTCAAGCTCAACTCATCTGGCAAAGTCAGTAACAAACCAATCTTGCCCAGAACTACCTCTGCCATCACCCATGTAGTCCTCCCTCTGACCATAATAACACTGAGGCCCCCAGGAGGATGATGGTGCCCCGTGGGGTTCCAGGGAGCTCACGGGTGACAGCCACATGCCAAGGGGACAGGAAGGCCTGGGGACAGGAACCCCGTGACCCTCACCTTCCTGACGTAGGACACGGCGTCCTCCTCGGTGTACACCTCAGCGCTCACACCCCCTCGCCGACGGCGGGCCTTCACCACGGGGTTCGGAGGGGTAGGTGACACCTCCTCATCGTGGGAGTCCGACTGTGAGTTCGACTTCTGCCGTGCCAAAATCTGCCTGTTTTCTTCCTGCGTGGGAGACAAGAACACAGAAAGCAAGTAAGAACCTGGCTGTCGTGGCCGGGCACGGGGCTCACACCTGTGACCCCAGCACTGTGGGAGGCCTAGGTGGGAGGATCGCTTGAAATCAGGAGTTTGAGATTCGGGTACACTTTGTGTCCCCATACAAATCTCATCTTGAATTGCAATCCCCATAATCCCCAAATACCGAGGGAGAGACCAGGTGAAGGTGATTGGATCATGGGGGTAGTTTCTCCCATGCTGTTCTCAAGGTAGTGAGTGAGTTTCTCACAAGATCTGACAGTTTTATAAAGGGCTCTTCCTCCTTCGCTCAGCACCTCTCCTGCCTGCCACCTTGTGAAGAAGTGGCCTTGCTTCCCCTCCCCTCCTGCTATGATTGTAAGTGTCCTGAGTCCTCCCCAGCCATGCTGAACTGTGAGTCAATTAAACCTCTTTATAAACTACCCAGTCTCAGGCAGTTCTTTATAGCAGCATGAAAACAAAATAATACATCCTGTCTCGACAAACAAACAAACAAAAAAGAATTATCTATAAGTGTTTTCACCTAAAGTCGTAGTTTCTTTTTATTTATTTATTTATTTTTTGAGACGGAGTCTCACTCTATCGTCCAGGCTGCAGTGCAGTGGCGTGATCTCAGCTCACTGCAATCTCTGCCTGCTGGATTCAAGTGATTCTCCTGCCTCAACCTCCTGATTAGCTGGGATTACAGGTGCACGCCACACCCAGCTAATATTTTTAGTAGACATCCTGACCTCATGATCTGCCCGCCTCTGCCTCCCAAAGCGCTGGGATTACAGACGTGAGCCACCATGCCTGGCCTAAAGTCGTAGTTTCTAAGAACCTAACAACATTTCTGTGTATGTAACAGTTTTGTGAGACATTAAGAAATAAAGTGAGTGAGGCTCTCCAGGAAATTTTTATAACTGCATATAGATCCACAATTATCTCAAAATTAAAACCGCTTTTTACAGCGGGTGATAGGCTGAGTTGGTGTGGGGTTTAGGAGGCTGAGATGACAAGACTCTGGAGGTTTGCTGAGAAGAGAGACTGGAAGTTGAGCCCCGAGTCACCGTGCAATGACCATGGTTGTGTCCATGTGGGGTCGGGTTGCCCCGAAGCCCACCCTGCCTTGAGCTGTGGATGGCAGGATGTGCCACCCCTGCAGGCCTTGCTCCTGCACACAGAGGCGTGCACCCACCCCTGCCCACAGCTTTTCAGTCACTCTAAGCCTGGTGCATCTGCTGTGGCCTTAGGCAGTCTGTGCATTTCAATCCCACCAGGCCGGATGTGCCTTTCCTCCTATGCCTGTGTATCCCCTTCCTTGACTTTCAAAAAACATTTTTTTAAGCAAATGGTTTGCTGATTGGTTCCAAATATCAAACCCAAGGATTTCTGAGTATTGGCCATTTAAAGTCAGCCAGATGCACCGGTCCAGATGGGTAAGGTGACCAGCAGGTCACACCAAGGTAGAGGGTGCAGGAGAGGGGTCTGACTTCCTGCAGACTCTGCCATTCCTCCTGCTCCAGGAACTTCTGGCAAACACATGACTGTCTCCCCAGCCTGTTAAAACTGGGACATGGTGGGAGCTCCTGCTGAATGCCAGCCGCCATCCATCCTGTGGGTGGTGGACATGAGTGAAGGATCCCCACAGCCCAGAGTGGGCCTGGCCAACGCCAACATGGAACAGCGGGACACAGTCACAGCAACGCCTTAACCGACACCTGCCTCAAGCCCCACTCCTTGCCCACCTGCCACATGCAAGGCATGGCACCCACCCCCCAAGGAAAGTCAGCCTAACAGGCTGCTTGTTGCTCCCTCAGCAAATAATCCCACCAGCTGCCCACCCAGGCCAATGCAGTCATCTGTCAATCACAGCCAAGGGCAGTTTCCCCAGGGGCCCTGCTTGTTCTGCCGCTGATGCCCACCTCTGCATGCACCGATGCCCACCTCTGAGTGCACCAATGCCCACTTCTGTGTGTGCCGGCCAGTTCTCCCTGTCTCCTCACTCACCTATCGGATGCTAAATGCCCAACCAGGAAGCCACTGAGTACACAAGGATTGCCAGGTGCAGCTTTATGTGGTTGTTTAGATATATCTTGACGGAGCTTCCCCAAAAAAGATGGCAGATGGAAGGTCCTCTTTTCCCTTGAGAGATCTCTCAAATGATAGTAAAATTAAAATATATGCATATATACATCTACCATAAAGACCAGAGCATCAGGAACGCCATCTGAGATTTCTAGAAAACAGACAACAAACTGAAGCACGGAATTTGACATTTTGACAAAGTAGGAGGCAGCCTGGGATATATGAAGCAGGTTCTCCCCAATCCAGAGAGGGAACTGTTCATGCTGCAGAACCCCACAGGGCAGAGAACAGAGGTGGTGAAAGTCATCAAGATCCAGACTCAGGACCACAGGAGCCCAGGAGCCAAGCAGCCCTCCAAGGCCAGGAGCCCAGGTATCCTGTTGCTGCTCCTCCTGTTCGCTTTTACTGTGGAAATTCCCAAACTACACAAAAGTAGAGAGAGCAATTTAATGAATCACCAAACACCCATCACCCACCCTTGACAATTATCAAAACAGAGCCAGTCCTATTTCATTTCACTTCCACTCCCTTCACACACACACACACACACACACACACACACACACAGGATGGAAGCAAATCTCAGATATAGCATTTCATTTTAAATACTTTAATATCTATCTCTAAAATATAACTTGTTAAAACATAACCACAATCCCCATTATTACCTGCTATGATTTGGATATGACTTGTCCCTCCTAAAATTTGATCCTCAATGTGGTGGTGCTGGGAAGTACATGAATGCAACTTTTTATATCAATATAATTCATGTTACACATAAAATATAATATACATATAACAGTGGGAAGATACACCATGAAAATATCTAAAAAAGAGACAAGAGAAAAAAACGTGTGTATGTATATACATGTGTGCATATATATATAAAGCATGTTTTTACATATATACATATACCAAAAACATCCCAGGAAGCCCAATCTGATAAATTGCAGTTCCAGAAGACAAAATAAAATAGAAACTTGCCAGAAATAAAAGAAAAATTTCCCTAAACTGAAGAATATGAGTGTCTTGGTTGACAGAGCCCACAAGATTTTCAGTCCTAGTAAAAGGACTTCCAGGGATGAGAATTTTCCAAAAGCTCCATAGAGAAAAGTCAGGTGACCCACAATGGACTGACAGTAAGAACAACTCAACCTTCTCAAAAGAAACACTAGATACTAGAAGACAATGAAATGAAGCCTCCAACATTCTGAAGGAAACTTCCTTTCAACCTAGGCCTTTATACCCAGCTGAATTAGCCTTCATGTTTGTAGTTATAATTAAGAGAGTATTATATTAGACCAATATACTGGATTGATAATTTTTACCTTTCAGAATGTACTTCCAGACAAAACATAAAAGGCATAATACTAGTTTTTGAAAAAATATAAATTTCAAGGGGAAGACAGGAACCCAGAGAGGTGAACACAGTGCTTGGAACCATGAGAAGTATCTAGAACAAGCATCTGAGAAGCTGACAGGCTGAGCTTTCAACAGATTTACAGAGATAGAAAAGACCAAAACTGAAACTTAGGGCCTGCCTGGGAAAAGAAATCCTTGTAAATCCTCCAGATTTTGTGCTTTGGCCCAAAAGATTTTGTGTGGACATTGGAAGGAAGGATAAGCTGGGATTAAGCCAGCCTCCCAGGGACTGAATCCCAGCTCAAATCGTCTTAGTCCCTAATTGGAAAAGGGTGATCCAGGATTGCTAGTACCCCTAGGTTAGCCATTTTTCCAAAGCAATTATAGATTCTCTCAAAAGGAATATATCAGCCTCAAATTTGCTCTTTTTCACACATAATGTTGGGAACCCAATCAAAAATAACTCGGGTACAAAAAGACAAGATCATGTAACCAAAACCCAAGAGAAGCAATAGGCAATACAAAGAGATCCCTTCAGGGGATGCAGATCATGGAATTAATGGACATAGACTTTAAAATCATTATGCTCAGTATGTTCAAGGAAATAAAAGATGAAATTGAGAACACTGGCACAGAACTAAGGAAAAAAAATTTAAGCCAAATGGAAATGCTATAATCAAAAAAACATAATAATTGGAACTAAGAATTTGGTGGATGGGTTTAACAGCAGATGAGAAACACAAGGGAAGAAATTAATAACCTGGAAAATAGATGAAAATATCCAGACTTAAGTATGAGGACAGGAAAGGAAAGCAGCTATAGAAAAGTGCTGAAGAGAATGTGAAATATGGTATAAAAAAAAAAACCTCCAATTTATGTGAATTAAATTCCAGATTGAAGAGAGAGAATATGGCAGAAGCAATGTTTGAAGAGATAACTAAGAATTTTCCTACACTAATAAACGACATCAGGCCGTAGATTCAAGGAGTGCACAAACTCCCATGCAGGATAAACCAGGATAGCATGGTAAACCACAGGAGCCAAAGACAGAAAAACCTAAAATGTGGCCAGAAAAAAAAAGACATTACCTTCAAAAGGGCATCACAGACCTGATGGCTGACTTCTCAAAGGAAACAATAGAAATCAGAAGACAAGAAAGACAGCATTGAGGTTCTACTTCTAATTCAATAACTGCCGACCTAGAATTCTATACCCAGTGAAAACAGCCTTCAAAAATGAGACTGAAAAAAAGACACTCAAAGACAAACGCACTAAGAAAGTCCATTACCAATAGGCCTGCTGGCAGGAAAACACTAGGAGACACACCTCAGACAGAAAGAAAATGACCCCTGGGGGAAACCTGGAAATGCTGGAACAAGTAAACCAAACAAAGTGGAAGCATGGAGGTAAATCTACACACACGCTAGCCACATAAAATACAACACAGGCCTGGTGCAGCGGCTCATGCCTATAATCCATTCACTTTGGTAAGCCGAGGTAGGCAGATTGCCTGAGGTCAGGAGTCCAAGACCAGCCTG